AATAGCTCATGAGACCCTATCTCAAAAATATTCAACACAAAAAGGGCTGGCGGAGTGGCTCAAGTGGTAGAGTACCTGCCCAGCAAACATGAAGTTGTGAGTTCAAACCCTTGTACCACCAAAAAAAAAAAAGAAAAGGTTGAGGACTTCTATACCTCATTTTTATTGAAGGACAGATCACCCAGACAGAAAATCAAGACAGACACATCAAAGTTGAATTATATCAGAAAGTAAATAACAGATATTTATAGAACATTTCATCCAACAGCTGCAGAATACACATTCTTCTCATCGGCACATGGAACATTCTCTAGGATAGACCATCTATGTAAGGCCACAGATCTTTGTTTCAGTAAGTTTTAAAATACTGAAATCATGTCGTGTTTCTTCTATATCTGCAATGTAATAAAACTAAAAATAAATAACATTAGAAAATACGCAACTGTGTGGAAATTGAACTTGTTCCTGGATGATGAAGGGGTTACTGGCAAAATTAAAAGGGAAACTTTAAAATTTCTTAAAATGAATAAAGATGAAAACACAACTGTCAAAACCTATGGAATACAGAAAATGCAGTATGAAAGTGGACACTTACAGCAATAAATGCATACATCAAAAAGTAGATTTCAAATAAAGAACTAATGATATACCTGAGGGTTTAGAATATCAAGAACATACTGAACCCAAAATTAGTAAGAAGAAATAAACAATAAAAACAGATAAATCTGAAAACAAGAAAACAACACAAGAAATAAAACAAAGGGTTTTAAAAAAAACAAAACATAAAAGGGGGGGGTAAACAAAATAGACGAACCTTTAGCCAAACTAACAAAAAAAAATTATAGATGAAACAGAAGACATTGCAACTGATACCAGACAAATACAAAGGATCATAAGAAACCATTATAAACAATGATGCACTAATAAATTGGACAACGTAGATAACTTTCCAGACACATACAACCATAAAGTTCAATCAGGAAGAAGCAGAAAATCTAAATGGACCAATAACAAGTAACAGGATGTATAAGAGCTGGTGGCTTTACAACTTAAATCTACAAAATATTTAAAGAACTAAGTCCAATTCTCCCTCCACTATTCCAAAAATTAAAAAGAGAGGAATGCTGCCAAGTAGTTTTAGAATGACAGTGCTGCCTTGGTTCTAAAATCAGACAGAGACACAGCAAAAACAGCAAAAGAACACTGCATACAAATAACCCTGATGGAAAAGAAAGGAAACCTAAAACTTGAATGTGGTTGATGTGCTCACTGCAGAGGAGTGAATAAAGTAATCTTAAACTGGCAGAGGCCACTATGGAAAGGGGGCCAAACAAGAAATAACAAATGATGGTAAGAATGCAAGCTACTGAGAGACAGACAGAAGGATGGGAGGAAGGGGGTCAGCGTGACCTTAGTTCTAAGACATTTTTGGGCTTGGAATGTCAAGACACCACAAGTTGGGTACCATTTTTGAGTCTGGCCCAATTTAGAAGATAGACACAGATAGGATCTCGCCTTAGGAGTCTATAGATGATACAACAGAGGCAAGACTGAGCATAAGCATATCACACACTGAAGCAGGAGAGGGGCGGTGGACAGAGTGGATTCTAATCCAGGCCCTACTATTCACCAGCCAGGGAAACTCAGTGACTCAATGAATATCAACGTCCTCATCTTTAAAATGAAATAAGTAGTATTTTGATAGCTTGCAAAAATAAAATGAAAGCATTTATTTCCAGGTTCTATCACAAATTAGCATGTGGTGGGTGCTAGTGGTCAGTTATTGTTTTAATTGTGATTAAAAATCATTAATATCAGTTAAAAATCACAAATAGTACAAGAAATAATATGCAAATAATGGAGAAGAAAGATACTAAAAAATAAATATAATTAATTCATAGAAGGAGAGGATCAACTATAGTTTCAAGGATCAGGAAGCAACTGGATAACCACTAATAGTGAGAAAGATAATAGGGATGCCAGAAAGAAAGAACATTAAAAATAAAGGTTTGGAAGCCTGAGAAGCTTGGTAGATTCAGAGCCTCAGGTAGTAGTGTCTGAACTGATGTCAAAGTTTAGGAAAAAAGTAAAGGTAGATGGAGTGCCTGCCCATGCCCGCCCATGCCCACCCACGCCAAGGGCCTTGCAGGGCAGGGGGCAAGGCCAGAGACTCTGGTCGGCCATGGGCCCAATCTACAGTTTAATGCTGTCAATGGTAAGGCAAATCATGGCTTATTTTTGGGTGTATAAGTAAGCACCAGATTTTAAAAAGCAATGCTCCGTGTTCATATCCACTTAAAGCAATTTAGTAGGTTTTTTCTTTCAATAGCTAGAGAATAATACTGAAACACAATCTACGAAAAGGAGGAAAAGGGGACAATTATAACTTCTATACTCAGCCCTTCTTTTTCCACGTCTATCAAGAAATATATCAAAGACATAAGCCTATTACATAAGTGACAAAAAAGTGCTCAAATAAAAATGTTATTAACAAATTATGATACAAGGTAACTAGTAAAGATAATAGGTTAAAATATACTTTAGACACAACAAAGAAATCATTTTCCTTAAAGATAATTTATTTTCAAAACATAAACTGAAAAATTTATATAAATATATTAATCACACTTTTAAAAGTGTGTTTTCATTCAAAGATTCAGTCAGATGAAACAAAAAGGCATATAAAATGAAAATACTGAATGTGAATATAGCATAATGAAACTCACTGAACTGGTTAAAAAAGAGGGAGAGGAGGGAAAGTTGCTAAGATAAGAGTCACATGGATAGGGTGAATTGGATCAATCTATATTAAATAGTTACCAAAAAGAATTAGCAGTAGAAAACAGGAGAAGAGATCAAATACAAAAAGGAAAATTACAGATAAATTAACATTCATAGCAAGATGTGATCAATAAACAGGAAAGATATTCTATGATGAAGTTATATATTTTTCACAGGTACTAGAAATAGGAATGTCAAGATTTCTTTTTTTAAGAATTCAAAGTCCTGGGAATCTTATAGCCCTCTTGGCTCAATGAAGCTGAAATGGGGAGAATAATTAAACTATACAATTTATAACAATTAATGTTCATCATTTCACACAGGAGCTAACACACCAATAAACAAATCAAGAATTTAGGTAAGAAAATATTCTCTTCACTTTAATTTGCTCCCTCCCTCAAATCTGACGTCTTTCACAATTTTTTTTTTTTTAGTGGCACTGGGGTTTGAAGTCTTTCACAAATTTTAAAAGGAAGATGAAAATTTTAATGTATAAAAATAGGTAAGTACTTAAATATGGAAAAGTGCTATTTTAAACCTTCCTTTCTGTACTATAAATTTAAATCAATCCCTATTTTTACAAGTCTGATTTAATCATTAATTCTGTCTTTCAATTTTTCTGTTTCAGTTGAGGTTGAATAATTTCAATATGAACATACCATGCTGTAGTAAAGATGGTGGATTTCCAGTCCTTCAAAGACTGAGCTCCTTATAACTTCCAACAATTTTTATTCCAGTTGAGATCTATGTATTACATACAGTACTGAGTTCTACAATGCTTTAAATATATACAAAAGATTAGTGTAGCCTATGGTGTGGATAAGTGTCCCCCAAAGGCTTGATCCTCAGTCCATGGAGCTATTAGGAGACAGTGGGACCTTTAAGACATGGAACTTAGTGAAAGGTCTTCCTGCCACGGAGGGTGTGTCCTTGAAGAGGGTATTGGGATCCCCGCCCCACCTCTCTCTCTCTCTCTCTTTTCCTGTCCTGGCCATGAGGTAAGAAGCTTTACTCCTTTATTTCTCTACATGGTCCTTGCTGTCATGTGCTGCTTCACCACAGGCCCAAAAGCAATGAAGCCAGCTGCTTACAGATTGAAACCTCTAAAACTGTGAGCCAAAGTAAGCCCTTCCTCTTTACAAGCTGATTGTCTCATTTATCTTGGGACAGTGGTGGAAAGCTAACAGAACATGTAGGCTACACATAACACTTATCTAGAGACACCAGCAGAAATGTTCATGCATTAAATCACTCCCTCTAATAATATGATTTACCCTCGAAAGAATAAGGGCCACTAAATGGGACCCCCAAATCCAGAAGTCAGTTTAGACAGCATACAACACATTCATGTTTATATTATGCTTCATAGTTTATAATAGGGTTTTCACACCAACCCTAAAAAATGAACAGGGAAGCTATATAAGAATTCTCATTTTGCAAATAAGATCAAATTCTAGAGAATAATGTTTATAAGTAGCTTAGCAATGGAATTCTTTTAATAGCAGATCTTCATTTCACTTATTACTAATTCAATGTTTTTATTCCTTGAAATTTACTTATCTGGTCATGGATCAATGGTGCAATAATTTTTTTATAAAATCAGCCTAACATACTCTAATCAATAATGCAGAGTGAAACAGACATAATGGACTTATACCCTTTTTGGACCACCTAAACACTTGGCTGATTCTATATAACAACTATCTTTAGAATATTAAAAATAAGTGGTAATATGAAGTAAGATAGGCTAAGTAGATAAGCCCATTTTTTAAAAGTTATCAATTAGACAACAAACTTCCAGATATCACAAAATGTTTTTAAGTTCTGACCTTTTTAAACTTTCACTTTGTACCTGTCATATTTAAACTCATTAATTAAATAACTCAATTGTCTGGTGAATTTATTAATTATCTTAACAAGATCAGATAAATGCTTTAAAATACTTGAATATAATTCTTTAATTAGTTCAGAGGTAAATGTTCCATTTTTAGAACTTTAATAAGGTGAAAAGCAAAAGCCTGCAAGAAATATGAACTAAAGGTTACCAAAAGAACTAAAAACAAAAAGTCAAGAAATGGGAGATGGAACCTGTGTCTTAAAGCTGTACTGGATTTAAGAAGACAGGATACTTTTTTAAGGTGTGGTTTAAAACGATGCTTCTTTCCAAAGAGCAATAAGAAAGCCAGTTAACATGGTGAGGAAACAAAAAAAATGCTTACAGGTTTGTATCTCAGTGCATCTCTGTAGGATCCAAACAAAGCAGCCTGAGCCCTAAGAAAGGCCCTCGCCACTCCATCGCCGGTAGCTGTTGACTGCTTCTTCAGTTTATTTTTCAAGGCCGAGACCTGTATGACAGAGAGGAACAGTTAAATTAACACCTCAGAAATTGGTACAGCGAGGTACCAACCCAATCAGCAGGCAAACCACAGTGTCTGCAGGTCAGCCAAAAACTCATCCTCCTCCCTGGTAGCTTATCTCTTTAACTGCAGAGAGCACCTGCTGGTCTGTTAATTGAAAGGAAAGTAGGAGAGGAGAGGAATGTGCTAATGCAAATTGGTTTATGCGCTCTCTTTTTTTTTTCCCAAGGCCTCTTGACATAAGTAAGCTTTAATTATTTTACAGTAAACTGCTTGTGCGCCGCTTTTCTGCAATTACAACATGTGTCTACCTGTTTGCAGTTGAAGCTGGTTGGGTATCGTGACTTTCTGCTATGTAAGGATATTTGTCATAGGCCTTCTAGGATCACTTGCCATTTTATTTTACTTTTGGAAGTCTCATTTGCATGTGTAATTTTCCAGGCATTTGTAGAACAGTTTTTGTCATTATTAGACAAAAGAAGCAGAGAAGAGATAAAGTCATTGAGACCAGGCCATGAGAAGAGAATTATGGTATGCAAATGTTACACACTGTCACATTTAATCCTCACAACCCTCATCTGGGAAAAACATTCATAGTCCCATTTGCGAATGAAAAAGAGAGGAGCACAAAGACGTGAAGTGCTCCGACCTCACTACGTAGCCAATGAGCGGCAAAGCTGTGATGTACGCTTAGTCTGCCATGTGCCGGGTTTGGGTTCAATGCTATAGCCTCATAAACCCATAAACAGAACAAAATACTAACGCTTTTAAATGGAAGAAAATCTTATCTAGGAATCTGCGTAATTTCTGAAAACAGTTAAATTTGTTATAATTTTTTATATGTATTCCAACTTCTAATTTCAGGTGCAATGTATTTTAGAGAGTTGTATTATCTCATAATAGCCTTTTAGAGTGATTTTTAAGTAAGACCATCCTCTTGATGTAAACTTTTATTTTTTTCAGGGGGAGAAAATATAGTATATTCCTATGCACCAATTTCCTTCACTAATTCCTTCCACACAAAGTAGAAAACTACAGTCTATACACTTAAAAATATTGATTCTCACATCCGTTCCTCATCAATGCCTAAAATAGAAACATGTGAAGTTGTGCAATAATTCTGTTTTGTCAAGGAAAAAAAAACTGATGAAACAAATTCTAATTTGATTGCTCCCTTCACAGAGCATGTTCTTATCGGTATGAAACTACCAGATAATAAAATGTTGCTTATCCATTTAAGCAAAAGGTAGTATTTTTATTTCTTTCTGCAAGTAATCCTGACTTCTCTTGTAGATGATGGTTGTAATTGAAGTGTCAGCCTAATTAACAACTAAACTCTGAATGATGCTAATGAAAAATGAGCACAGCATCAGAGAAGGGACCAGCTCTACAGGTGATAAACCTTCACAGTAGTGACATTTTCCAGTGTAAAGTCACAGTTACTGTGATCTGATCAAAGGAAAAGACCCCCATTGGGTCCAATTATAAGTATAGTTTTGAAAAAATTATTGAGTTATGATGTTTATAATCTATGCAGAAAGCCTCTCCAGTATAGGTCTTCTCCCCATAGCTGTGATCTTTGCAATTTACATCGAAGCTCCACAGATTCAGATAAAAGTTTAGAGCCTAATTCATTTAGCCCACAAAGTGCATAAACCAGATTCATTTAAGAGGGAGTTTTTGTTATCAAAATCTAACCTAAATCAATGCACGTTTTTAGGAAATCCATGTCACAGCTGAAGGATGCAAAAATAAATCTTCTGACTTGATGTCCTTTATTCTGGGATGAAATAATATTGTTTTCTAAGTTTCATATGCCTTTAAAGAAAAACCAATAGAAATGAGTATCAATTTAATTGTTTAATTATCAACCCCTAGAAGAAATGTTTCACATTTAAAAAAAAATATTATGAAAAAGTAAATGGGGTTTCACATTTTGCTTTAGAAAATGAGGAAAAAATGATTTAAAGGCAATGCCTTTTATCTTTGCAAAAGAAAATTCCTCAAATCATAGTTTTATATAAGATGAACTTGATGATTCAGTCCTCCATAAATCAAGGACACAGTATTCCTCAGACAATCATAACCCCTGCTCACAGACAATGGCAACAGCCAAGCTACTCTGCATCCTTCACTACACCAAGGCCTCAACTCCACAACTGCTATGTGAGCTGTCCAGGACCATGAATCAGACTGCCACACACTTCCTGACCAAATGACAAATATGCAGTCCGCACCTCCAGATTCAGTCACCCAGGGATAGTCTCTAATCCCTGTGTGGATTTGCAGAAACTAGGAAAGAAAAAACCAAGCACTTGTTCTAGGCTGTCCAAAAGGCAGCCATTTGCAATATGAGCAAGTGAATATGACACATCTCAACTCAGACTTGCTTCAAGTGTAAAACAGATGTTGTATTTAAAAGACTTAGTATGAATATACTCAGTACGAAAATTTTAATATTGATTACACTTTAAAACAATATTTTGAGTATAGGGTTAAGTAAAATAGATCACTAAAATTAATTTTACCTGTTTCTTTTCACTTCTAATGAGACTACCAGAGAATTTGAAAATACAAGTGTGTCTCTCCTTGCATTTCTATTGGTCAGTGCTATCCTACATGAGCACACTATCTGATTTCATATGGATATCTGAGACTAAAAACTGCCAAGCAAAACACAGGGTTACATTTTCCTTTGCCTATTTCTATCTTATTTCAACTTTTGAAAACTACATCAAAAAGATTATTTCCCTGGCCTGTTCTAGACGGCTTCAATTGTCAGTGGATCTGGGTTGTTGCTGTTTTCCAAAGACCACAAGAGCAGCTGAAATAACTGTTTCTACATGTGAAAACAAATGCTCACAAACAGTCTGTAAAAATGAAACTGTTTTTAGCAGTAAGTTTGATATATAAGAATATTAATCTAATATTAAATGATTGTGTCAGATCTTACTGTTTCCCTTGCCTTTTGATCACTGGTTACCACTGCCCTGTGCAATGCTAATTAGCTGTTAGCAGTTTTATCTATAAAATGATGGTGTCTCTTCTGCACTTTTTCAATATCTGGTCCGGGCAACAGCATTTCCTGCTTTAATTTCAAGCTTCCACATTTTGTTATGAAATAAACATGCATCTTCACAGAAAATTCTAAAGGTTCTCCTCACATATAACTCTGACTTCAGAAAAGCAGGCAGCACCATAGTCACATGGTTATCACAAATCCTATTATACTGAAACAGTATCAATTGCTTTGTCTTTCTAGTTTTAAGAAAGTAAGCAACTTCAACCTCCAATGGCTAAAGATTATTTCAGAACTGACATATGTTATTGTGTTTTAGAGAGTTTTCAGCCTCTAAATAATGTTTATAGTCTAGTTAGGAATTAGACTAAGCCAAAAATATTAAATAGTGAAATGAAGCTTCAGAAATAAACATTATTTCATTGTCTTATCAAATGTTTAAATTCCTTTCACGCAAAGAGAACTTGGGCTTCTAAGCAACCATTCACAAAAGGAATTACAATCAGAATTTTAGCACAGTGGGAGTTCACTGTAGCCTGAATAATATTACCACTGATTCTCTACTTTTACCCTCTTAGCACTAAGCTACGATGAATAAAAGGAAGGAATTACATGAATAAACAGAGCAAACAGGTATAAATTTAAAGAGTGCAAGCGATGTGCACACAGTCTGAGTAATGAGGTAATTATACCAACCAGAGTAAGTCAGGAAGGAAGAGCATATAAGTGGGCTGTTTATCAGAGAAGTAACAGGCTTCTCTTACTTGACTTCTAGATGCATCTTTATGGTAAAAAATAAATAACGGCTATTCCTAAAAATTTAAATTTTATTTTCAATATCACAACCAGAAATGTCAAAGGAGAAGAAAGAAGATAAAAATAAGTGTTCAGAAATATTTACATAACCTATACAACCTAAAACACCCCAGTAATGTTCTAAAGTATGTTCTTTTATTAAACTAAATGATACTCTAGAAACGACCTCCATCTAGAAAACTTAAGAGTTTCTAATGATCTTCTGCTGCAGAACAAAGGAAGCAAGTGAAAACACTTTCTTTTACCATGAAACATTAGGTCTGTTATATGAATTACATATTAAATCCCTATACTACTTTAACCATTCTCATATTCAGGTTTTTAAGAATCAAAATTAACAATTTTCTGCTCATAGACACATATTCTCACAAGCTCTTACTTGAGGATTAAAAGAGTAACGTTTAAGATTTGTTTAATGAAAACCATACCACATAGTTGTCTAAAGAGAATATCATTACAGGGCCTCTTTCTAAGCATAAATTTTCTATCCAGCCCTAACTACTATGGTATTATCTACAACTGTTTTCCTTTCTGAGCTATCTTAAAATGAAGACATCCAAAATTGCTCTTCTCCTCACCTACTCTAGTTGGGATCTGTCCCCCAAAGGCCCAGGTGTTAAAGGTGTCATTTGAGGGAATGTGGAATCCTTAAGAGGTGGGGCCTAGTTGAGGAAGTTATGTCATTGGGGGTGTGGCTTGAAGAGAATATTGGAAACCCAGCCCCTTCCTATCTCTCTCTTTGCTTCCCAGCTGACAGGAAGTGAGCAGTTTCCTCCTCCATGTGCTTCTACCTTGCCACAGGCCCCCAAACAATGGAACCAGCCAATCATGGGCTGAAAAACCTCTAAAATGTGAGCTAAAATAAGCTTTTTTTTTTTTTCTCGTAAATTGTTTTTTTCACATATTTTGTAGCAGTGACAGAAAGTTGACTCACACTCCACCTGAAGTTCAATGTCAGGCTAGTGTCACTTCTGCTCTCCAGCTGCTGTACAGAGAAGTACGTCCCCCTTTCTCATCCTACAAATGCAATACATCCCTAAGGCCTGTCAGTTCTATCTCTCCTGTAAACTTTCCTGACCAATCTTCCCGCTTCACTTCTTAAACCTAGTAATCTTTGGGACCCAAAACCTAAGATGTTATTTTTTTTTTTAAC